CTTCGCTGAATCGGTAGATGAAGATACCTGGGTAAGGGTCTTCCAGCTGAATGCTTGGGTTGGATCCGTCTTTGTGATCAATGGGTAGGAAGACTTCACGAACAGAGTGCTCTCCCTCCGAGGGCTTTTGCCGAACACCAGGTGGCGACATCTTGTCTTCTTCTGTTGGGTCCAACAGATGGTCACCAATGACGGAGTGAATCTTGGCCCTACCCATGAAGCGACCCTTGGCCTTGAAGAGACGGAAAGCAAACATGCCTGCGGACACTGACACCGTGACAAAGATGCCATTCTCGATGCTGGAGAAGACGGTAACGAGAACACCAACGAAGAAGATGATGACTTCAAGTGGTGAGATCCTCCAGAATTGGTATACAGTGTTTGGCGGGGTAATCAAGTCCAGCACTGCGTGGATAATGACTGCCGATAGCGCTGCGTTGGGAATGTACCAAAACATAGCTGGGAGTGCGTAGATGGCGAGTAGCACTACGGCGGCCGTAATGACACCTGCGAAAGGCGTGCGAACACCAGCCTTTGACTTGATGGCAGTACGTGAGAAAGAACCAGTCGCGGGGTATGCTCCCAGGAAGGGGCCGAGGCAGTTGGAGACACCAATGGCTACGAGTTCTTGCGATGGGTTGATAACGTAGTTGTTCACACGTCCGAAAGACTTGGCAATGGAGATGTGCTCGATGAGGAGGACGATGACTGTCGATGGGAGTTCGGTCGCGAAGGACTTGATGATGGGAATCGTAATCTTGGGCACGCGCGCGTGTTGGAAGCCTAGAAATGTAAGTAATGAGTTTGACCAAGTTCAGGAAGCATCTTACCTCGTGGAACAGTTCCGAGGGTTTTGATAATCGGCTTGGTTCCGTTGGCCCTGTGCTCTCGGTTTGCCAGGTAGCTGAATAGGATATACAGCAAAATGACGAACACCGTTCGCAGAGTGTTGATGAAGAAAAACAGCTTGGCGCGGGCGGGGAAGCGCTTTGCTAGCTGACCGCAGGTAAACCTGATTGCATATAGGAGGAACAGGCAAGTCAGGCCGAATGATGCGTTGAGATCGGTTCGTCCAAGGTACTTCAGCGAGTTGATGACCACTTTGTACGTGGGGTCCCTAGTCGAGAATCCCGTGATACCCATCATGGCAGGGAACTGCCCAGCAGCGATACTGAGGGCAGAGCCGGTCATGAAAGCCGAGATAGCAGGCAGTGAGATGAGGTCCACAATCCAACCCATGCGGACAAGACCCAAGAAGAGAACGATTGATCCGGCAATGATGGCCAAGGCGGACGCGATCATGTCTCGTGAGATGTCTTGGCCAGCAAGTTTCTCTTCTGCAGACAGCACGACACCGCCCGTGACTGTCGATAGAACGGCAACGGGTCCAATGGTGATGTCCTTAGAGGTAGCGAAGAACCAGTAGATGAGTACACCCATGAAGGAAGAGTACAGTCCAAATTCGACTGGAAGCTCAGCGAGCTTCGCATAGGCCATACCCTGAGGAACTACAACAGCGCCCACAGTTATACCTGACGGAAGTTAGTAGCTATAAAATATTGCTGTTAGGATGTGACGTACCAGCAACAAGATCTCCGATCAACCATTGTACGTTGTATCGGCCTATCCAGGAAAGGAACGGGAACAAGCTGGAGCAGTACTCTCTCAGCTCGTGACCACTGGGAAGAGTGTCCTTGATCCATTCTTTCGCGGTAGGTTCTTCCTCAACATAGGTGTCTGCTGAGTCGATAGTGAAGACGCTTTCGCCTCGGGTTATGCGTTCCGAGCCAGTTTCGTTCCGGTAGTGCAAGTCGATACCGAACACCTTTGCTAGGCCTTCGCCGACTTTACTGGCTGTAGAAGCCATCGTTGCGATGAGAGGTCTCCAACGCGCTCGAACGAAGATGCACTGGATCAGCACTGGAATGCCACGTGCCTGAAATCCAGTACTAAGTTTGACAAGACCGAATAAGCCTTGGAAGCAACGACAAGAGCTGACGGAAGTCCGAAAGCTTATCTATGCGGTCCACCGAACGGGCGGGTGTGAACAAGCACAGCGCAAGCAATTGGTGGCTTGGGGTGAATCGCACGCGGTCTCTCTGGGACGAATGACGGTGGTGCTGTGCCGGGCTGGGCTGCAGGATCGGCCTGTGAGCTTCGAAGTCAAGGTAGCTTGGGAAGCTTGAGTGCCCTGGATGTGGGAAGGACCGAAGCCTTTACGACGCCTCGGGATTGCTTGATATGACGAGAAATTGCGTGATCGCTTCCGTTACTGGATCGGAATTGGTGTTGATGTACGCTAGTACTCTATGCGCAGTCGGGGGGATGTCGAGGCAATAAGGCCACTGCTATGATAGAGAGGATGAGATGGGTAGGAAGTATTTCCAAGCAAAGCCCGAGTGAAGGGATCTGACAAGTGACATAATGCCCTGATATGCCGATCAGATCTAAGTGATTATTAGCGACCGTGACGCTTTTCGCCGCGGTACCGGCAACAATCTGATGCTCGATGGGTCGAGCTTGCAAGGGTGTGCGGGTGCGGCGACAGGGATGGGGCGCGAAGGATGTGATGGTCGCTGACGGTTCGCACTAGTGTCCAATAGAGATCCAAGACCGGAATTGCGTGCTCGGGAGGAAAGATGTCGACTTCGCTGTGCGAGTCCGCCAAGTGAGCTTGGAAAACGGTTGAGGTGTGGCACAATTGGCACACCAAATCCTTCCGAGTAATCGTAATTGTATTCCCAGCTGACGTGCGGCTACATCATGTGTTTGTCTTGAGCAACCACGCTGAGCACAGCAGCTAGCCTGACGCATACCTACAGTGTGTGCGACAAATTAACTCTGCATCGAAAGATCCTCCAATGGTAAGAGGCGGCATTTTCAGAACTCCGAGGCTCTTGGTTGAGCGCAGTCGTGATGTCGCGAAATAGCATCTGACGTCATGCTCTGGGGAAAGCCGGCTGTGCGGGTACGTTGAGACGGCACTTGGATCCTCGACGGGAACTTGCATCCAATCCAGGGCAATTCTCTCAGCCTACCACGATAAGCCCGTGATAGAACCGGCGCTGTTTGTCGTGAAAAAGATGTCTGTGGGTGCAATTAAGGTTCTTTGCAGGATGCCAGCCCGCACGTGGGGAAAACTGGTCCTTACTAAGCGAGCAGCCGCCACTTAAATATGGGGTGTACGTTCTTTTAGGAAGGCTGGACACAAGAAGTGCATACCGCTTTTGTCCATGCTCAAAACTCAGCAGAACACAGTTGATGGGTTTTCACGATAGCTCTGCTCTAGATTTCCATGAGTGGGCGGCGAGCTATGCCGCTCTGATTGAGATGCACACCTCAAAGAGATGGATGCGTTACTCCAAGAGGTGCTCCGACCACATCAAGCTAGTCTCGCGCGTTCGGCGTCAACGCTTTCCGACTTCCTTCTTGGCTGACCCTCAGTCCTACGTACTCGGTTTCCACCGCTTGCCCACCTCAATTACTTTCTCACGACACGATGCCTCCACCCAAAAGGCCCAGGACTGAGTCGGGAGAGTCCGCCTGTCCGATCTAGGCCGATGTCGTCATGCCGTAAGCCGAGAGATGTGCCCGCTCGAAACCCACTGTCACATGAGACTACGGCGCATAACGTCTATCACAAGAGATAGTTCATGGCGATCTTTCTAAGAGTTTTCAGGGTCTCCCCACACTCATGCAATGAAGACACTAGACAGTTGTGGTTGTCCATCTTCTACTAGCCTGGAGTCTACGACACAGCATATCTAAAAAAGTGAAAGATTTGATATTAGTATAGCTTACAAGCTACCTGCGGCAAAGCGGTTTAGTTATTCAATCTACAAGCCTCGTATCCATGAACAGCTAGACTCTGTACCCAAAAGTATCCAGATCATCATACTACACGAACCAAAGGATTGATTTGCCAAATACCACTCCCACTACAACCGTCTTCAACTCCATATCTCGTCCTGAAACAACTACGTCCTACCAACGCTCATCTCTAATCCGCACACCTTCCCCCACCATATTCTCTACCAACGACACCCCATCACCGGCACCTCATCATGTAACCCAACACTCTCATCCGTCCGCTCATTGATAAGCTTCTCAAGACCATTAAGCAAATGCCGACATTGGAACAAAAACGCAGCTGCCGACTCGGTACGCGGGGGAGAGTAACAATAGTTCACTTTCATCAGTCGAATAGTACGAATAGCGTCGCGCTGCTGAAACGTCAGAGTCCAGAGGAAATGCTTGAAGCCACGATTGTGGTGGGCCCGGAAAGTGTTTAATTTGAAGGGTAGCCATGTTGTCTCGGATCGCAATTGTCGCGAAGTGGCTGTGAGCGCGAGGAAGTGGTGTGGTCGATTCCAATCGTCTTTGTTGTGGGAGGACAGCTGGATGGGAGGATGACTGGACATATTATAGCCGTGGGGACGACTTTCTGTACGGATTTCATGACCGCCTAGTACGTAGATGTATATTTGATTACGTAGCTCAGCTGGGAGACGGAGAAGCGGAGATTCGCGTTGGTTGCGAAGGGTTCTGCTGATGTCAGTCTGGGTCGGCGAGGTGATGGGGGTGTTCTCAAGAGCATACATTGGTTCGCATATAGATGCGGCGGCCTCGGACTTTGTTTTGACGTAGGCCATGGTTACGATTTGAGCTGATGTAAACTTGAGCGTGTGTGGTTCGGAAGAGTGAGCAATGAGTGGACGACGCAAGCTTACGAGGTAATTATAGCGGTAACCCGATTGAGTAGCGGTGCTAGTTCAAGAACGTGTGCGTTGTGATTCCAGTGAAATGTGATTTTGCGCTCAGGAACTAACGTCAAGGTGACTTCATTTTGTACTGGACATATAAACATCCCGTGCACGAAACGGTAGCAGACACGTGCAATGCTCGGTACCATTCCATTACCGGAACAAAGCGACCAACTCGTCAACGCCATGATAAATGCACTCCTCTCCCTCCCGTCCCGTTCTCCACAACAAAACAACCTATCTACCACTCTTCCTAGCCTTCTTCGCCCGATCATAAGCATTCTTCTCCCTCCCCTCCTCACCCTGAATCTCCGCCACAAGCCTCCTATACTTCGTCTCATACGCCTTATCCTTCTCCTTCTTCTCCTTGAGCGTCTCTCTCGCAATGAAATTGGCATCCTTGCGCAACTCCCTGAGCGCACCTTTCCTCTCGCGCTTGTACTCCTTCTGCAGCTTCTTGGCTTCCGAGCGCTCCTTGTCTGGGTCGTAGTGGCGGTTGGGATCGAAGGACTCTTCGAATTTGGGAATGCTGGATTTGATGGGGAGGGGGCGGTGGTGGTGCAGGAGGAGTGGTCGCCGTTTTGAGCGCGCGAGGGAGAGGCGGGCGAGGAGGTTTTGGTGGGTGGAGGTTTGGTTGGCGGATTTGAGGGGGGCGAGCAGCGGAGTGAAGATCTCGATGAAGGCGGTTGAGGCGCTCCAGAGTTCGGCGGCTGTGATGACGTTCTTGCTGTGGGCGGCCAGGAGAGTGGGTGTGGCGTGCTCTGATTTGAGGGACAGTCCGGTGTAGCGGATGAACTCGGGGATGTATCGCTTCGATAGCCTTTGGTATTGCAGACACAGCGCACCGATGCATGCACCGGTTGCAACATCTTTAGTAGAAGCAGGTGAGGTAAGTCCCATCCATCGAGCCATGAGAGTGATGGCGGGAGTGACGACTTGGTGAAAGTGGTCAGAGGTGGGGAAGATGGAGCCAATGCCTGCAAGCAGAGCCAAATCGCCCGGAGTTGGGTCATTCGATATCTGAAGCTGCTTCAAGTGTTGTCGGATTTTGGTAGCAATCTGAACTGGGTATGACCGCGTCATGGAATGGATATGACGGATGATGGCTTCGATGACAGCCAACGATGCAGCGGGCGTCTGGTTCGACAGGTAGGAGACGTGATCAATAAGCGCGCATGCAAAGTCGGCAAGCTTGTGCTTATTGTCTTGGTGTAGTCCAGCATGGTAGAGCGCACGTATCCGCTGAATGACAGTGGAGGTATCGTTGGGAGCAACATCCTTGAAAACCTTCAGCAGCTCCTCGTGAGACCGCGGGCACGCGTATGTAAAGGCCAATTTTGACGAAGGCTCGGCAGAGAGTGTAAGCACACCGTTCACGGCCTTGGGCTGCTCTTTCCGCTCTGGCATGACGTGCTTCAAAAAGTCTGCATCCTCTTCATCCATGGCCATGGTGTCGTCAATCGCAGAGCCAGCATCAGACTCATCGTCAGACATATCTGCTTCCGAGTCCGTAGCCACGAGATCATCGTCCATGATGAAGTCGTCCTCATCTTCAACGCCTTCTGGTCTCAGTTGGCCTGGTAGTTTCAGACCGAACTCGGCAGCGTCATCGGCAAGATCGTCTTCATCTTCATCTTCATCCTCTTCTGACTCCTCGGCACCATTCTTGCGTGGCTCTTCGTCATCGCTGACTGGCTCTCCTCGCATCCTCTGCAACCGCTTCTGTTCGAGCTCCTTCAAGCGGTCGGCCTCTTCCTTGGCCTTCTCCTCTTCCGTCTTTGTCCGCTCCGTTGGCTTCGCTCGCTCATCTTGCATCAGCAGGCGCACGCGCTTGTCGTATTCTCGGTCCTTGTCTTGTTGTGTGGTTCCAGCGAGGAGCGCAGCGCGGTCGGCGTTCATGCCAAACTCGTTGACTTGGGGGTCTTTTGGCTTCTCGGGCTCGGGCTTCTTGTTGATGTGTCCTCGCAAGGCAGACAGAACGTCGTTGAGGTCCTTGTCGAGTTCGTCGCGCAGCTCGTCGTCGTCCTCTTTTTGTGCCTGACGCTCGTATTTGTGCTGCTTTGACTTGGCCACGACTTCCTTCATGACCTCTGCCTTGCTCTTCTTCCGCTCTGGCTGATCTGCAGCCGCTTCGCCGTCCACTTCGCCATCTTCATCGTCATCGTCTCTCCGCCTCTTCTTCTTCAGGAAGCCATCTTCGCCGTCGCTAGACCCAGCAATGCTAGCCGCGTCGTAGTCTTCCTCACCAATCTCATCGTCAAAACGGAGGGATTGTCCGCCGTGGGTGAGCTCCACCTCATCGGCATCGTCCTCGAGGTCAAACACATTGCCACCTCTCTTGCGCTGTTGTTCTCTCTCGAAGCGCGCCATCTCACGATCCTCCAAGCTCATAGTCGGGTCATCTTCGCCTATCCGCCTATCCAGGATGCCTCCAACTTTGTTCTTGCGATGCATCTCTGGAAGCAGCGACTTTCTTCGTGCCTCTTCGCCCGCGCTCTTCGTAACGCCAGGCCGGCCGAGGATCTTCTTGGGGGCATTCTCAGCCTGCGCAGAGACGTACTCATGCTTGTGAGGGCGCGCAAGGTGCTTGAACTCGAAGGGATTGAAGGATTCGCGAATCGAGGCGAGCGCAGAGGCTTTCCGTTCGTGGTGGTCGGCGTTCTTGGATTGCGACTTCTTCTGCTTCTTCGACTTTTGCGGGCCAGTGATGCCCTGTTCGCGCAGGGAGGCTTTTAGCCGCTTCAGCTGGGAGGGCGGCATCTTTGCGGGTATCCGAAAGCCTGGAGACCTTCCGATAGAGAATTCGGCGTTGAGAGGGCTCGTGGGCGACACGAGATGGTCAACCTGAAATAATTTCGAGAGCCAAAACTTCGGGCATGGATGACCCCAGTCTAGCGCCACCTGTGAGCCGCGCCCCACTTTCACACGCGACGAGCGCCATGACTGCCCGCGCGCAACTGAGTCCACGACCGCATCATGCTTCCACCCTCGCCGCCATAGGCTTCACGTCATGACCAACTATCCCTCACTATGGCATCCAACATTCCCGACCACTGGCTCTGGCTCGGCCTCGGTACAACTCCTTCTTCCACCAACCTCACGCTATCAGCCCCGCTAACCATCTCCCAGGCGTCTTCACCTTCATAGCCGTCCAGCAAGTCTCCCACGGCCTCAACCACATCCGCACCCTCACCGAGATCCGAGACCCCCAAAACCTCCCCCAGCAGCGCCGCGCCATCCCCTCCGGACCGCCCACCCACCAAGAAGATGCGATCAAGACAAGCTCCCTCTTGACACTGGCGACGAGTCACAACAACGATATCCGCGCCTCCGCTACCAAGATTCTATGCACACGCTTCTACGCCTCCAAGTCCGCCAAGGACCTGCTTATCAAAGACCTGTACTGTGCAGACGGAGAAGTACTGCATCGCGCCCAGTTGGCCTTCAATTTGTTGGGCGACATGGGTGTCTGGAGGGATGATGGGTTGTTGCCCAACAACAGGTTCAGGTGGGATGTCGTTCAGCAGCCTGGAATGGGGAGTGGTTCGCAGAGGGATGTAAGGAGGAGGCGGAGAGAGGCCATGGTGATAAGTGATGGTGAAGGGCTGATTGGAAGTGACGATGTTTACATGAGGGAACCAGAGGGCGAAGAAGAACATGATGATGGGGAGTCATTGTTTGTGTCTTGAAGAGGCCAAACTATGAACACGATGTAGAATTCGGACTATGATACCCCAGCGATGCTAGAAAGCATCTTTTTTTCATGTTAATACACTACTGCCTCAGTTGCTATCGATGTACAACAGGGCAAACCATACTCAAGCCTGTCTATCGTCCATCTTCACTGCGTCCAAAACCTCTGAATCCTCCGACGTCTCTTCTGAAGAATTTACCAATGTTCTTCAGATTACTCTCCAGGTTTGCGCCTCCGTCTGCACCTCCAGCCTGTTGCTGCTGGCCCGGCGCAGGACTGCCGAATCGGTCAACACCATCTCTCGCTGCATTAACGAGCATGTTGCCCAGACCTGTTGCGTCGAACCTGCCTCCACCAAGACTTGGTGTGCCCATCGTGCCCATCACACTGCCCGCCGCACTCCCAACGCTACCTCCCGTCTGAATTTGCAGTGGAGTAAGGAAAGGGGAGTTCTGCACCAGGTTTTCATGGTTGGGCGAAGCGCGGAAGGCAGAGAAGAGGTCGAGGAGCTGGGTTTGCTCCGCCTTGCGGATGCCCTTGAGATCCATGATCTTCTTGAAGTTGGTGTCCGATTTGTCGGCAATGTGGATGAGGTAGGCTTGTACGAGGGCCTCTGGTGGCGAGGGGCGGACTTGGAGTGTTTTGAGGAGAGGGTCGATCTTAGACATTGACTGGTTTACGCGTTTGATGAAGCTGATGAACAGATTAGCCTTACGTTACGCTAAACAGGAGGGACTCAGAACATACCTTGCTGGTGGTGCTGTACCAGGCTCCTCATTGAGCGTGGGTAGCTCTGTGAAGCCTTTCTTCAGCACGTACGAATCTAGCAGCATCTGCTCCGCGCCAACTTCGGAAATCGGCTTGCACTGCACTATGTTTGCAATGTAGATGGAAGCCATTAAGTCGACAAGGTTATCGCTGAAAGCTCGCGCGTATTGCTGCTTGTGAAGATACTTCAGGATCTCCCCAGATCTCTCCTTGACGTTACGCAGAAGCTCTCCCACGTAGGAACTTTGGTCGCCAACACTCTCGAGCTTTGCCCAAGGCGTGTTTCGCATCTCTCTCCAGCTAGGTTCGCACGCGATTTCCACTTTCCGGACAAGCATTCGAACTGTCGCGCTAGCGATACCCATGAAGGCGTCCGCCTGGCTCTGCAAATCGACCTTTTCCTTGAACTCTTCGTCTATGCGACCTCTTATCTTCTCTTCTAGTTGATTGCACGTCATATAACAATAGTCTGCAGTGTTGAGAATGAGAATGGCGTCTTCGACAGATGGTCCTTGTGCTCCTGCCTTCTCACTAAGGAAGTAATACAGCACTTGCTGACCGTACTGGTCCAGGTACTTGGCAAAAGTCATAGATAGCTCCTGTAGCCGCGTTCCCGTCGAGAGTTTGGCGCACTGCGCCAACGTCATACGATAGAATTGGAACAATTCTGTCGACGAGGGTATCACAGCTTGATGCGAGAAATCCTCTTCTGGATTGCGCAGGGGTTGTTGCCGATACTTTGGCATAAGGTTGGCAAGTTGCCTACAAAGTCAGCATCGTGTTCGACAGACATTTGCTTGTAACCTACTTGTCTTGAGACTCGACCCAGAGGCTCATGTAGGGTTCAAAAGCCTCAGAGATGGCTTGACTAAAGCCATGTGGACGGTCGTCCTTAGAAGCGACTGTGTCCATCGAAGAACGTGACTGCGGGGGAATGAGTACGTGTTTCAATGTGATAGACTGCCTACACAAACCTCGTTGGAGAATCGCCTTTCCAAGCTGTGTTCGAAGTCCAGCGTCTCCTGTAAGCACGAAAGGAGTAGTTCGACGTCCAGACTCTGCCCGTCGCCTCTCCGTACAGCCTTTTGTAATATAGACTTGAAGTCTTCGCGGGTTCCTTCGCAGAACGAGTTGGCCAGCATCTCGTTCACTCTCCAGTAGGCTGGGAAGATAGAAGCATGTTCGACATCGTACGTCTTCATCATCCGGTTGAACCAGCTGTACCTTCGCCCGATATTGTCTAAGGATCCAGCCTGTTATTGTTAGCATCGTGTTACCATAGAAGAGTGCAAGTGTCCTACCTCGTCGTTGCCCCGGAAGACCTGGCGGTACTCGCGAAGCTGCGTGTTGCAATACCAGTTGATGAGCCGTGTACGAGCGTGCTCCCCGAGCGCATCAATGACCAGACATGCTTCCGCCAGCATCCCTTTCCGCTGGGCTGTTTCGCCCTTGGCAAATGTCACTTCGAAGTCCTCGCAGACCTGCTCCAGCAATTCGCCCTGCACATCTGCCACGTTGCGACTCAGCGTTGCGATCTGGTCTATCGAGCGATAGCTCTTGAAGTGTGCCACGAGCTGTATCACAGCCTGTAGAAGCTGTGCGCATTCCCGATATTGCCGCGACTTGCTGAGGCTCCGTAGTTGTTCGTATGCCGTCGTCAGCATTTGAAGGCGCTTCAACGCCGTCATGGAGAGCGTCAGGTTCTTCTTGGTGCTATCCAAGCGCTTTATGTCTGCAGTCATCTCGGTGATGGTCTGCTCCGTCTGCATGGCCCGCTCTCGGACGCTCTCGATCTTCTTGAAGAGGTCAGCCAGCTCTGCCTTGGCGGCCTGGATGCGCTGCACGCTGTCGGCATCGGCAGTGGACTGTGAGGCGACAACGCCCGCGATGTCTTCGTCGAGGTCATGCTGGTAACTGCGGAGGGCGTCCGACGTGGCAGATACGGACGAGAGCGCGGCGGGGTGGGAAAAGATGGCGTTCAGGTGATCGATGGGGTCGTATGAAGCTGCATTGAGCGTCAGCGCGGAATCCATGCTTGTGGGTGTTACTGGGACTGCGTACCAGATTCCAGCGAGGTGGAGGGCGCAGGCATGTGGTTCGGCGGGCGTCCGCGTCAATGGCATGCGCTCGCGGTACACGGTTGCAGTCGTCGCAGCGGCAAGGAAGGCACGGCCGGGGTGCAAATTAAGACGAGATATCTTATCTATCTAGGACGCAGTACGCACGATTCGGTATTATCGGCAATTGCCTGACGTCCTCCATGCTTCACAAGCCAATATCCCACGCGTCCTCAATCAGGGTCTCTACTCCGAGGTCCGAGCTCATCGCGCTAGAGCACCCTGACGTGTGGTAACATCGCCTTTGAATGTATACAGAGTACAAACACAACACTCATGCACATCACAGTCTATGAATACATTTGGATACCACCCAATTCTGAAATCCGGGGCTTACTACTACGACCCGGGCACTATTGCGGGAATAGACCCAGAAACCCGTTGTAAACTAAACTGCGGTCTTTCTGTGTGAGCGAGCTTGCATCCCCTGTACCGGTCCAATAGAAGAGTCCACCTAGTCCGTTTTGACGCACGTAGTTGGCCTTCATCCTGACTGTGTGCGGGGTATCGTATGTGACTAGACCTCCGTCACCACCAATGCAGTAGGCTGCGCCCAACTGCTCATCAACGTGCTCTTCCGCACCCGGGCGTGGTAGATCTCGGTACTCAAATGTGCCCTCCTCTCCTGCCTGCCCAGAGAACGAGTGGCCAATACCACGGGTTCCGGTGAAACTGCGGCCATATGCTGGCACACCCATGACAATCTTGTGTCTTGGGACACCTTGCTGCATCATGTACGAGACAGCTGAATGGCAGGATATTGCGGCCTCGGGACTGTGCGGGATGTGTGGTGTGAAGAGTTGAGCTTGATGTCCGCACTTGCTGACCCACGGTCCAGAGTAGTCGTAAGCCATAAGGTTGATCATGTCCAGATAGTGCGAAGCATGTCCCAGGTTGATGTGTTGAAGGGCCCATTCGCCCGCTGGAAGTGCCGAAGAGAGAGTGTACTGAGGGGCTGGCAAGTACTGACGAAGTATAGCCAGAAGAGCGATGTAATCCTGACCTTGACTGGCATCTGAAGGGTGCTCCCAGTCGACTATTGCCTGGTTAGTAGAGGCTCTTCCACCTGCTTTGGGGAACTGACTATCGATTCCATCGATTCCGAACTGCTGTACCAGTGCCAGTGACGACTGAGCGAAACGCTCACGGCATGCAGGGTCTCGAGCTACACCAGCAAAAGG